CTTTCTTTCTTTTCTTTTTCATTTTCCTTCTATTTCTTTCATCCCTTATGTGCACCGTGACTGCGGATGGAAGTGGCGGGCGCACATACACACACACAAAAAAAAAAAAGGAACGGGCCTGGAGAGAGCGTGCGACGCGGGTGGCGAGGGTGACGGCAGAAGGAAGAGTGGCCGGGGACGAGGCGACGGAGGCACGCGGAGGAAGTGCATTGGGACGTACAGTGAGTCGATTTATTGGCCAGGGAGAGAGGGGGGAAGGGAGAGGAGACCATGACGACGATGCTCGCCTCCCTCCCTCAAGCGCATAGCGAGGTAATTACGTCGCTACAGTTTTCCCCTCACCACACCTCTGTCTTTTGCTCCACATCGGGAGACGACACCGCGGCGTTGTGGGATTGGCGTCAGGCCACCTCTGACCGTGCAATCGCACGCCTCAGACACCACCAGGGCCCTGTGAACCACGCCCTGTTCCTACAGGACGACGAGAGGGCGCTGCTGACTGCGTCAGATGATCGGACCATTGCGTACTGGGATGCACGCGACTTGAGTGCGCCTGTCGGGACGATTTGCGGCTTTGGGGATGGAATCAATAAAATGTTGCGTGTCCCTGCGCCTCATGCCAGCGGCGGCAGTGGCTGGCTGCTGGCAAGTGCCTGCGATGACGGAATGGTCTACATTCACTCTCTTAGTCCAGAGAATGTTGTGTGGCAGCGGCAAGACCAACAAGGCCAAGGACCGAATGTGGCAAACACGGCTGCTGTTGGAACGATGGTGGATCGTTTCTGGGCAGCGACGAGCACCGTGAACGATCTTGCGTTGTCCCCCAACCAGACGATGCTGCTTACGGCCTCGGAGGATAGTGCGGTGCGGTTGTGGAACATTGTTGCCGATATGCGGGCGACAAACGAAGATCGACTTGTAGCCTCCTTTGAGGAGTTTGATAATCCGGTTAACCACATTGCCGTGTTTTGCAGCAACACTCACGCCGACGGAGATCCGTCTCCGCCGGAAGCAGGTGGTTGTTGGTTGTACGCCGCCTGCTCGGAGTTTGTGTTTGCCGTCGACCTCGATCCTGTGACCAGTGCGTTTGGGGAGGGCGCCCGCGCCTTCATGGGTCACCAGGACTACGTGCGTGGACTGGAGTTCATCGACCGCGACACACTTCTGACGGTCTCCGATGACGCCACCGCGATTGAGTGGTCGTTGGCCACCGCGGAGCCCGTTCGCCAGGTGAAGCTGCATGAGGGCCTCGTCATGGCATCCGCGACGTCCGCGGCGAAGGACGTGCTGTTGACAGGGACAGACGGCGGTGAGCTGCGGGTGTGGCAGCTGCCGTTCAGAACGGAGATGTGCAACCGGCGAGCACCACGCGACGACTGACGGCGTCGCAGCGAGCCCTCCGCGGGGCAGCTGCCGGCGTTACTCCTCCTCCTCCTCGTTACTCCGCCTCCCTCTATACCCGCAAAACCCCACCGCTGGGGCCTGAATGGCGTAAGGGGAGGCCCCACTGCCTGGGACAACGCCGGAACACAAAAAGAAAACGGCAGAAGAGAAAACGGTAATGCGAGTGAAACTCCCATAATGTAATGGGCTGATTAAAAGGCAAACATTAACGGGCAAACAAGGAAACAAAAAAAATAAATAAATAACGAGGATGGCTGCCTGTCAATGGGGTGTGGGGAAGATTCAATGGGAAAGGAGGAAGAGGAGCTTCTCACAGTGGAACGCTGTTATAGAAAGGTGTGGGCTTATTTTTTTTTTGTTCGGTTGGTCGGCGGAAACTGTCAAGTTGGAGTTTTCGAGGCATTGTTGCTGCCCACACCCGCCGGAATCCCACCTTGCACCTCCTCCAAATGACGCTACAGATACTGAGTGGAAATGAGGTATACAAAAGAGAAACATGAAGAGGGTGAAGGGGTAAGCGCGAATGGATGCTAAGGATGCTGCGCACAGTGGGGGTGGTGGTTCCTAACATGCGAGGGACCGATACCCACGCCCGTACACTTTTTTGGTGTCCTTTGCCATGAGTCTCACGACGGACCTTGTTGCGGTTCTGTTTCTTGTTGCAGGGATCGTTCCTTTCAGTACTCCACTTCTTTCCCTTTTATACTGCCAGTTACCGTCAATAGTAGGAGACCACAGGACTCACGGTCTGGGGTCAGCATCATTCATTCTTCAACGAGGTGAGGGGCAGCTCCCAGCTTCAGGGCGCATCCCCCATTTTGGGGCTTCTGCAAAGGACTGAGGGAAGGGGGAGAGAGCGAGAGAAGAGGAGGAAAATTCTCATTGTTTTTTTTCTTGTTTGTTTCTGAGTGTGAGCGTGAGTCATCACTCAACACCTCAACGGTGAGAGGGGCCGTGCCGAAGGCAAAACGGGATCGCACCGGATGTGGCGTCTCTTTGGCGGCGTGAAGCATCTCGCCGTCTCGTGGATCGGGACGTCGTTTGACTGCAGTGCTGCTGCCACAGTGGGCCACACGACTGCGCAGCGGTGGCAGTCGCAGAGTTCTCGCGGTCAGCCGGGGCTTCACTGGGACGAGGGCGTGGTCGACCCGCGCTACTCGTCCGAGGGCAACATGCGGAAGTTTAACCCCGACACGGTGGCCCACTACGTCAAGGCGACGATCCAAAACGATCGACGGGAGATGGGCCTTGGGGAGGTGTACGACTGGAATGAATTTGCGAAGGACGCCGTGTACATTCCGACGCGGTCGGGGCCGTTGTGGGTCGGCAGCGACGACCCCCGCTGCGCCAAGTTTATGCGCCGTCGCGAAAAAATGAAGAAGACACCGCAGCAAAAGGCACGGCCAAAGCCGGGGCCTGACCCCGCCAAACAACTCGAGGATCACGTACTGCGGGAGTTCTTTACTACGGCGACTAACCTGCGTGATCCACTCAGCACGGCGAATAACCTGCACCGTGCGGGACTCATCCGGGAGTACGATATCAAGCATGTGGCGGCGAAAATAAAGTACGTGCCACGTCCACCGGTTGTCTCAATTATGGGCCACGTTGATCACGGCAAGACGACGTTGCTGGATTACCTGCGCCACACGAATGTGGCCTCTGAGGAGGCGGGTGGCATCACGCAGAATGTTGGCGCCTTTCAAGTAAAGACGTCGGAGAGCCATGTGGTGACCTTTATCGATACACCGGGCCATGCCGCCTTTACCGCGATGCGGGAGGTGGGTGTGGCGGCCAACGATCTTATTATCCTTGTCGTCTCTGCCGTTGACGGGGTGCAGCCACAGACGAAAGAGGTCATTGAGCTCGCCCGCCACGCCGGTATTCCGCTTGTAGTGGCGTGCACAAAGATTGATCGACAGCCGAAGGTGGAAGCCGTCAAGCAGCAGTTACGTGACTGTGGCCTAGAGCTGGAGGAGGATGGTGGGGACACGCAGTTCGTTGCCGTGTGTGGGCGAGATGGCACCGGCGTTCCAGAACTTTTGGAGGCAGTCTCCTTGCAAGCGGAGCTGTGCGAGATTAGTACCCCGGACCCCTCAAGATGTGAGGTGACCGTCATTGAGTCAAGTGGTACTAGCGCGACAAATGAAGTGGCAGGCATCGTGCGTTGTGGAAAATTGAGACCGGGGCAAGTGTTGGTGTCGGGCATGACCTACGCGATCGTGCGAAAAGTTATGGATGAGCGTGGAAATGCCGTGCAAGAGGCTGGACCCTCCACGCCAGTTGTTATACATGGCTTTCGCGTTCATCCAAAGCCGGGTGCTGTGCTAATGCAGGTGAGCAGCGAGTCTCATGCACAGAAGTATTATCTTTTTATGAAGGATGTGTACAAGACGGAAGGTCGACGTGAGGATTATTTACAGCTGCTGAACCAAGAACAACATGGAATGATTTATGCCCGTAAGCCAGACAACAATATGGTGCGCACATACAGTACCAAGGCCTTTGTGCTGTCTTGCAAGGCGGCAACCTTTGGCATGCTACAGGCTCTTATGAAGACACTGTACGAATTGCCTCGATTGGATGGCATCTCCATGGAGATTAAGGTAACCGAGGTGGGTGGCCTAAAGGATTACGACATCGCCCTCATTGGCAGTTCGGGGCAGCCCGGCTGCATTCTCCTCTACGGGGAGAGCAAGGATACAAACACACTGGATGTTCCCAATCACGTCAAGGTGATCCGTTTCAGTGTGCTATATCATGGAATCGATGCACTAAAGGAAACATTCGTTGAGGCACTGCCTAAAATCACCAAGACGCGTGTCACGGCGGAGGCGGAGTGTCTGCAAGTCTTTCGTGCGTCACAGGCGGGGAAAAATGGCAATGCCGCCGGGGTACGAGTGACAAAAGGCACCGTCATTGGATCGCATCCCTTGTTTCGTGTCTTGCGCAAGACTTCGCAAAGTAAACGCATGGGAGGCGGCAGCAGCCCCAAGAGGAATGGCAGCGAAGACGAAGACCCGGAGGCTTCTCTTGTGATTGTGTACGAGGGTCAAATAAAAGAGCTGCGCCGTTTCAAGGAAATTGTGCCTTCTGTTGAGATGGGTCTGGAATGTGGGGTCATTCTTCATGATGAATTTCAGTTTAGGTTGGGGGATATTCTTCAACAGTGCGAGATCTATGAGGAGCCGCGTGATGTGGCTGAGGAGTACGAGGCGGCGGAACTTCGCGAGAAAATTATGCGGGATAAGGCCGCAATGCAGGCACAAATGGAGGAGCACAATGCGCAGGGAGAGAGCAGCAGCGCTGATTCCGTGTAGCGGGCAGCGTGGGCAGTAGGCATAAGGGAGCTGAGCCTCTGGCTACGATGCTGATGTGGCGGACATTTTTGCACTGAGGACGGTGCAGCTAGCGACTCCTTGACGTTTTCGTTTTGCCTATTTTTTTGCTCTTCCTTTCTCTCCTGCTGCTATTCAGAATTTCCTTCGCGCGTTTCACAACAAACTAACTAATGTGCATGACGATAATATCCACAGAGAAGAACAGTGAACCACGTGGTGGTGGAGGAGGGGGGGGGGGGACATCTTCTGCGACGGCCTCCGCGACGAGAGGAGACGAAGAACTCTCCTCCAGCGTGCGTTGTCCGGGGGCACTCCACGTGTTTGGAGTGCAGGAAGCGGGGGATTGGGGATTGGCGGTGCCGTGGCAGAGAAGGCGCCTTGCGATGTGCGTGTGGGCGGGGTGGAAGGGGGCATTGCACAACTCAAGTGGCGCACGCGAAAAGTGTCGTTTCAAGCTTATTCCTGCATCTCTGCGTTTCCCCGCATCCGTTGTATGCCTCTTAATGGGGCGGGGCAAGGGGCCGGCGATTCATCTCCACGAGTTGATGGAGAAAGAAGGAGACAGAGTGCGAGCGAGCGGGGCGAGGGTGCGGAGAAGAGTCTTTGCCTCTTGCCAAGGGAGCGCGGTTCGACCTTCCTTCCGCCCTTACTTGGGATTTCTTGTGCCTTGGTTTCCCTAGAGATTTGCGCTTCTCCCTCTTCCTTTCTGTTTTTAAATCATTTTTTATGCATCTGCCGCAGCGTGTGCGCTGGGCACAACTCACACGAAAAGGAAGCATACAACAACCGGTAAGGAAGGATCATTTCTGGCCTTCAACTTCGATGCGTCGCCGTTTGTGCACCTCGCTTTCCCTCTTCACAGAGACGCGCGTTTCCAACGTACGCCCACGGACCGCGCTGCAACCACCACCCCATGAGAGCCATCGATGGCGGGTGGCACTCTTCACATCCATGCGTAGGCGGTCGTCCTCCACATTGCAGGAGGCGGATGGACCCAGCCCCCTGCAGCATGAAGGGAAGGAAGGCGTGGAACATCCTTCCCCACTGCAGCAAGCACTAGGGTCTGTGGGGGATGAAGGCTTTACAACGCTCTTCAACTCGCGGCCCGTCGCAGAGCGGGCGGCAGCTATGTTTATTGCGCAACGATATCCCTCGGAAGGTGTCACGCTGAAGGTGTTTGTGGAGCAGCTGCCAAATCTGAGTCGTGATGACATGTTTACGCGTGGGATGCCGGCGGCGGAGTGGGTGCGAGCCTCCACACTGATGCAACTTGAGGAGGATGCCCACGGCGTCTGCCGCGTGAAACTTGCAGCAGACGTAAAGTTTTTCCTTGCAGAGACCGCGGTGGATGAAGTAACCGAGAAGAACGAAGATCCGTCACCTGTGGCAGTGGACAAGGAAGAAATGAATCTTGCGGAACAGGTGCTGTGTTGTTTGCGTCAGCGCGTGCTCGGCGTACGGGAGGTGGCTGGCAATCCAAACTACCGGGCCCTTAGCGAGGCCTATTCCTCGCTCCTTCGAGAGGCCTCCTCTAGCGCTTCCTTGCGCCGCCTTGTGAACACCCTCAAGTTCGGGGATTTTCTTGCTATTGTGACCTCTTCGCGTGGGAGGGAGGAGTTTTGGGTTTTGAATGAAAAGTATATTTGCATCCGACTTTCCGGGGAGGGACAGCCACCACGGTTTGTGTCACCACAACCGCAGACGATGGTGGCGCACGCCCTAAATGCATACGGTGGTTGGGGTGCGGCACCCAACGTGCCGACGCGACAGGATGTGTACGAGATTCTAAAGTACGTGCCTGTTTCATGGGGAAATTTCGGCAACCTCAGCATACCAGCGGCAAAGAAGAAGAAGCACATTCGTATTGCCTCAACCTTGCAGTGGTTTCGACGTCAGCCGTTTTATTTTGAACTGCGCAACCTTGCGGGAACCACAGAAATTCGTCGCAGCATTTTGCTGCACCCGGAGGCCCACGGACTGACTCCAGAGGAGGCCCATGAGCGTCTGCAATTGAAAATTGCAAAGGGCGAGGCAAACAGTCTGGCGCCTGTCAACGCCGAAGGGGAGGTGTTGGCAGCTACCGAAGCCTCGCAGCATACAACGATACTTTCAAAATTTATCGCGCGTGTTTGTCCAGGCTACTTTGTCCCCATTTCACTGATCATGCAACGTTACACCAAGAAGAATTTGACCGCTGGTGAATTACTCGCCTGCGCCAAGGGAAACCTCGATCAATTTGAAGTTATTCAGCTCAAGTACACTGACACTCCCCTCCTGCGGAAACGCATTGGTGCAGACAGTTTGCGATGGAAGCACGGTTTTGTGGAGGATTTTGAGCGACACCCAGAGGATGTGCGGGGTCTCATTATCCTCATGGGACGCGTGTGTTCCACGTGGGATCGACCCCACTACGTGTATGTGCGCCTAACGGAGGAGGAAAAGGTTGTCGTGGGTGGATTTGAAGGCATGATGAACATTCTGCAACGTCACCCGATGGTGTTCCGTGTTGGAGCGAACTTTATTTCCCGCGTGGATCCTTCCGACCCCCTCTCTTTGCGTGAAAGCGAGCCTTCTCCAGAGGACATGGCGTCCCGTGTTGCGATTCGTGAAGAAAACCCCTATCAAACTCCACGCGAGCTGGCGGTGGTGTTTCATTACGTGGCCCCCGATGATGAACCGTGTACCGCGGCCTTCTTCTTGCAGTGCGCCAGCCCGGCGATGCGGGCCGTCTTGCCGCCGCGAATCGTTACCTTGCTGCAGCTCTTTCCGGACCTATTTGTGTGCAAGGAAACCTCTCCGGGTGTATTTTTGATGCGTAAAGCGAAGAAGCGCACCCAACGTGAGGCAGACGTTTTTGCCGAGGATGCGGCGCAAGCGGGGAGGGAGAAAGCTGCTTTCGACGCGCCCTCCCGGCCGGAGCGGCCGCGGCAGACAACAAAGGAAGCGGCGGGGGCGGACGATGAAGTGTTGGGCTGGGAGGATGCTTTTGAAGAGAACGACGCCTTCTCGCGCGAGGAGGCGGTGCGGGCGGTGAAAGCGCTGGTGCCGGCGGGGGGTGTGGAGGCCTCCCGGCTGCTGCTTTGGGCCTCCCTTGCGGTTCAACAGGCCGCGAACCAGCATTACGGCGGGGTTTTGAAGCTCGTTGAAGCCAACAGCGCCCACTTCCGCGTGCAGGACAGCCCGGAGTCGAAAATGATTTACCCCGCAAAGGGGAGTGGGGCGGAAGAGGAGTGAGCGGCAGAGGGCGGCCCGCGCGACAGGCGTTTGTGTTTCGGAGGCCGCCGTGGAAGGAGGGATGATCAACGCGAAAAGGGTAAAAGATGAAAAATGGGAAGAGGGGGTGGCGCGCGACGGGGACTTCCCTGCTCGGCGCTGCCTCCGTCACTGTTGTCGCCGCTGTTCCGGCGCCCGCGGCTTCGCGCGGAACTGCCGCCCCTCTGGGTTTTTTCCCCCTTTGGTGTGCCGCCTTTTCGGATTAGCGCGACGGCGCTCGCCGGCTGAACGGCACCACGCCATTTTCAGTCGCCGCCGCCGCCGCGAAGGAAATAAAACGATACTGGCATGAAATAAAAGCCCATAGGTAAAAATCCAAAACGAGAGCGGGCGCCCGCTGGGATCCGTCCGTGCAGGGCCGCGCCTCAGGCGGGTCCTGCGTATTCTCCCCGCGCGCCGGCGAAGTTGGCGACAGAGCCTTCACACTCCAAAAGAAAGCTGCGCAAACATTTTTCTGCAGCATAGCTTTTTGCGCGCCGCCGCTTACTGCCCCGCGCCCTCGCCCGGGCGATGGCAGCGCCGAGCAAACTTCGTGGAGGCGGGACCGGCCCCCCACGCCGCGCGCCCCCGGCTGGCATTGGCGGTGCCCTGGCGACAACTTTGGCGCGACACGCGCTGAGTGGCGAGCTCACGTTTGCTCTCGCAATGAAAACCCAAACGTTGCACATCGACAATCGCCTCTAGGCGACCCAGCGGAGAAGTAGTCGTCGTTGGGCGCTTTGCGATTCTCCGGTCACCGTGGCCCCGTTGCCTTCACGGAAACGTTAACGGCGCGGCCTCGAAGAGTCGATGC